GACATGGAGGTGCGCGCGCTGCCGCCGCTCCCTGAGGACGACTGGGTGATGCTGAGGAAGCTGTTCACCTACCTCACCAAACCGCACCCCAGGGCCTGCCACAAGAAGGCACGCTTCGGTGGATACGGCGTGAGTTGGACGGGTTGCGTGGCCGAGCTCCCTGAGTTTTGAACTGGCTTTCTCTTATCTACGTGAGGCCTTCAGCAGGTAGTGACCTATAGGTATGGGACTGTCTGAAGCCAGCATTGTTTTTCGAATCTCTTGGAATCCATCAAGGCTAAGATCCGCAGAACTACAGGCTCCATGCCAGTATAGTTGGGGGACAGATAATGGTTTGTCCCCGTGACGCGTCTTATGGTCAGTGGTCTGACGATCCTCCCGCTGTGTCGGGACCCGACCACTGGTGGCGGCCGGGTCCCGACTCCAGTCGTCAGTCGCTGACCGATCGCTCCTCTCTCGCGCAGGCCCGCAGGCTGCGGGACAACCGGCAGGTGCAGGACGGCCAGAAGTACGTCTGCATGGACGGCGAGTTCACGCTGCACACCAGCCGCAGGTGTCTGGTCTACTCGTTCGGCATCTCCACCGACTGGTCGTTCGACTGGGACATGGAGTGGTTCGGCTGCGAGGTCCTCGCCTTCGACCCGTCCATCGACGTGGCCAGCGGCTCCATGAACGGCACCATCTCGTTCCTGCGGTACGGCATCGGCGCCTGGGACCACGTCACGCGCGAGGGCTGGCAGATCCGCACGCTGGACACGTTCATGCGCTACCTGGGCCACCAGGAGCGCACCGTGCACTACCTCAAGATGGACGTGGAGTTTGACGAGTTCGAGGTGCTGCGGCAGCAGGTGATGCTCGGGCACCGCTCGCCGCTGGCCACCAACGTCGAGCAGCTGGGCGTCGAGCTGCACCTCACCTCGTTCCTGCCCGTGTGGAAGCACATGACCTTCTACCGGGAGATGTACAAGACGTTCCTGGCGCTCCAGGAGATGGGCTACTATCTGTTCCACTACGAGCAGAACGAAATTATTCAGCCCGACATGGTGGTGCCGGGCGTTGAGGGGCAGCTCGTCTCCGCCATGGAGGTGGCCTGGCTGAAAACCAGGTGCGTCACGTAGAGCGTATGAGGTCTGTGATGTCCTGTTCGGTTTATCACTGTCTGCAGTGCTGCAACTGCGGTGGAGCAGCGCTGTGTCAGCTGCCCCGCTGTGCCAAATGTAAAACAGCTGGCAAGGACACGACAACTATCAGATGAAATGCAAAGAAACGTGCATTGGCACAATATAAACAGAACGCTTATGTTCGAGCTGGTGAGCAGACATCAATAAATGGCAGGCCATAGCTGAGGCTGGCATATACGGATTAGTCAGTTAAGTCGTCGGAATGTGGCGAGAGCTCGAAGAATACGGTGGTGAGAGAATAACCTTATGTCAATGAAGGTTTTACCGCACTCAAGTGCATGTGTTTCGAGGGTTTTCGAGCAGCCATGCTCACGCGAATGCCGATGAAATAAATCTGCCCCTGCAACAAAAACTATGCATTGTGTCGCGGGTTACGTTGCCGCCCAGTAATCCAGAGACGCGAGAGAGAATTCCCCTGTCTAGGTTTCCCCGAAGTGCGCGTTTCTTTTTTTTCCCAAGTTTTGGTGGGGATATCCCGGCATTGTGGGCAGTTACCGCGCCGGGAGATTAGGACGAATGTTACATAACTTCCACAGCTGGATCGTGCTAAAGACGTCACGTGACGTTACCGAAAGAGTGGGTCACGCCTCTGCCCTCCGTCTGTCACGAACTCGATCACGTGGGCATTCGCGTTTTATTGGCCGTCTCACCGCACTGGCTTTCCATGAGCTGATATAGGCAGGTTCCGGTCCCACATGGTGAATAATTTCGCATTGCAATGATTTCTGATGGCTGTTATGTAATCGGAAATTCTCAAAGTCTCTCTTTGCGCACTAAACCATTGGTATGAAGGCCATCAGTAATCTACACGCAGCTAATACCGGTGAGGTGAGTAGCGGGGCCGTTCCAGAGGCGGCCCCGGTGAAAGTGTCAAATACCTACCTCCCACGCGACGCTGCTCTTCGGTTCCAGGACAATGACCTGTATCCTCATGTGTCGGCTTTTACAATGGTGGGCACTGGGCACTCGTAACTTGACCCGGACTTCGATAACGATAACTCGATAACCAAATCAGTCACTTCGATAACACGATAACGATAACGATAACTTCAAAAAGAAAGAAATTGAAAGGATAAAATATTTGAAAGGAATACAACTTCTTATAACATTTGGTTCACATTTGGTGCAGATTTGGTCAAGTTACGTGCATTCACTCGATAACCCGCGTCGTCAAAACGGCTAATATGCAGTGAGCAGATGAGGTCTATGAACCCAAGTCCAATGACACACATGCATGGAGTACTTTTTTATGGAAGCAATATGTTTTTGCTTTGAGCTGAGGCCTAACTTTAAGTTGCTGTATTTCTATACTCCTGGACGCTTCGCCAGTGCGTCTTAACCCTATTCCTGGCGGGCTCCGCCGGGACAAGAAACTGGCGGGGGGGGGGGGGGGCCGATTCGGCCCCCCCCCTGAGATCTCGAGCGACAAGCGGTAAACGGCATCGGATACGCACGACCAAGATCTACAATTTTTACAAAGGTCATTTTCAGGTCAGGTCAAAGATGACGTCACAGGGGTCGTAAAAGTCAAAATGGCGGCGCTAGATATGGAGAGAGTTTTTCTCGAATAACTTTCGAATTAGTCAAGATAGGAACAAACTAAGGGCATCATCGTGATCCTCTCGTCAATCCGCATCGAATGATATACATGTTGACCTCGAAAGGTCAAGGTCAAAGGTTGACCTCAGGTCACGTGACCTCGAGGTCATCATGTATATCATTCGATGCGTCTTGACGAGCTGAACACAATGAGACCATCCACGCGTCTGTATCTTGTTCCTGTACGGAGTTATTGGCCAAAAACCTTTGGTGACCTTTGATGACGTCACATGACCTCACAGCTGCCCAACAGCAAAACAGACCTCAAGGTAGTGAAGGTTGATCGTATATGAAGTCATGTATGGTATATGGGGCCATTCCGACCCGTTTTAGTGGTAAAACAGGGAGTTGATTTTTCCCCCATTGACTTATAATGGGGAGGTCGCGAAACTGACCTGACCTTAGGTCACCGATATCAAAATTCCGAGATATACAAATTGCACATACTGGTACCCTAACTAAAGCCTGAAGAGAAGAAATTGATCGGTCAAAAACTCTAGCTCTGGCGTGATTGCAAACTTTTCTGAGATAGGGTCACCAAACCGCCTGTGGTGACCTGACCTGAGGTCAGATCAACTCAAAATTTTCAGACATGTTGCGTAGAAGCCTTTTAGGAAAAGTCAGAAAATTTGAGCTTCCTAGCTCAACGCGTTTGGGAGAAATAACCAAAAAACCTCAGGGGGGGGGGGCTCCTGAGGCCCCCCCCCCCCGCCAGGAATAGGGTTAATGACCTGTTAACTGCGTATTGTTACACGGTGTGAAGTGGTTTAGAATTTCTCATAATAGCGAACCATGCTGCGGTCATGTCTCTATGGAGACGTCGATCTTTGTTATGTTTGGCTGTATTTCTCTTACGTCTTTCGTAAACAATAAGAATATATCACTACGTAAGCACAATACAATTTCTAAATGCACATGATACAAGGCATGATACATGATACATACATACTTTACGTTGGGTACAGCTTTCAGTATTGAGGATTTGTTGCCAACATCACAATAATCGATCTGTGTTGATGCATAAGTCTATAGGCTGTTAACCCGCGCCCAGATGGGGTCTGCCGAGCAACGCGGTCTGATGGGGGGGGGGGGCATTTTGGCCCCCCCCCCCCTCAGATCTCGAGAACCACGCAACATAGCGACAAGCGGTAAACGGTGTTGGATAGTCCCAGCGGGGAACTACCTTGTGACCTAATTTCATTGACCTCGGTCAAACCGATGACGTCACAGGTCAGGTCAAAGGTCGAATTTTCACCGTTTACAGGCATTTCAAGAAATGCGTTATAAAATCGAGTAAAATGCATTTCATTGAAAATCATCGATGGAGAAATGTTCTTCAAACACATACTTTGCTATTTGAGGTCACTGATACCAGGTCAGGTCACAGAGGTCAGGTCACTGGGGGGGTCACAATATGAAAGTGTCGTGTGATACATGTTTTATGGTCCATTTTACATGACAAATGCGATTATGTGGGTCAGACAGACTTAAGGGCCAGCTTAGGTCACGTTTTGGTCAAGGTCAGGTTAAGGTCAGGTCAAGGTCAGGTCAAATTAGGTCAAATTTCAAAGTTGATATTTTGCATAAAATTGGTATCGATTCGATGCAGCTCGTCACGGGGAGTTCAATGGTGGTCTCTGTTTTGCGCTACGAGGTCTAAAATTGCTAAAAATTGAGTTCAAAAAATTTGACGTCATCAATTTTTAACAGTTTTTTCGCTATAACTTGGCCAAAAAAAGAGGTATCGATCTAAAATTTGGTATGTATATCGAAGAGCGCAGGGACTATCACATATATTCCGGTTTTTTCGAAATTCGAAATTTTTTGGAATTTTTTTGACTTTATCTAAAAAAAATCATTTTTTTATTTTGGGGGGTCAAAATCCCAAAATTTCGAAAATCCGAGATAGCAGTTTTGTAGCGCCGTCTTTTCTCTACACAACCACATAAAGAACTTTAAAATTGCTTGTTAACTGTAGAATTGGTGAGCGTTTCAAGATGTCATGTTTTTTGCTCATTTTTGCTCGAACATGACCTCAGTTTGACCTCAATAACTCCTGACCTGAGGTGACCTGTGACTTGAAATTTTGTGTGAAGGTGTCAAATTGATGCCCAGTAAGGTACCTAAAATTTGGCGGCGCTGCGCGCCGCCGTTTTTTCGCTATTTAAGAAAAACCACAGGGGGGCCAAAATGGCCCCCCCCATCAGGGCGCGGGTTAAAAAAGTGTAGAAGTGTACGCAGTACGCACGAAACTTCTTATTTCCATTGGGTCATTTTACTGGAGTGTCTTTGTCAATTAACTAGTTATGATCCCCAAACACATGGCTGACCAACCGTCCAATGCTGTGAGAGCTGTGCATCAACTTGGGATTTTTGTCAGTTATTATCTCACAACGTCACAAAAGTTGTGGCTCATGTTTGACGAAAATGTCAGTAAGATGATGTCAAACGATGGTTTCATTAAAGCCTCTATGCATGTTGCATACCTAATTGAAGAATACTATGCGGCGTCAAGCTCTGCACAATATCATGACATAAGCATTTCACGTCTTAATTAACACAGACATTGAAACAATGCACGAAACAAGCACACAAATACACACACAACGATGCAGCATGTGTGATAAACGCAGCAGATGACCACGTAGTTTGATGCAGTATTTGCCTCATAATACACTGTTAGCGGCACGAGCAATGTTTCGATGATTGTTTTTCCACACCGGCGACAGATGGCAGCAGGCGTGGTCCGACTGCAGAGGGCAGCACCGTCTGACAGAGGCTCCTCTGTGTGTGTGAGGGCCGCTCACAGGTTCAGGAAGTTGATGTGCGCCGTCACAGAGCGCTGGGACACCAGGTCCACGGCCGACGCCAGAATCTCCGTGTCACCGAACCGCATCCGCACCTGGCCGAGGAAACACGTGCCGAAAAACGGGCGCCCGTCGTCAGCGGAGGCAGGTAGAGTTAGTAGGCGGGCCCTACCGGCTCATATGGATACTATCGCGATGTGGGTGGATTTTTTTCAAGGGACTAGGATCCTCAGCAGGAGTATGAAAAATAACCTCTTGCTCATATCTGAAGGAATTAAAAAATTAAAGACCAATATATATTCGGGCGTGGCCCTTCCTCAGTGGTACAGTGTTACAATGGAACAAGAGAGACATATGTGACACACATGAGACTAAATACATTATTTTGAATAAAATCACTCACAGATATTTTGCATGCGCTTCCAAAATAGGTGTCGATCTAGATTTACTTGGCAGGAAAATGAATGGTTGCATGAAACATAAATTAATACAGTTCGATATGATAGGGATACCTACGCTTGGTCTAAACCTTGTTATACATATTGCCAACATTTACACATATTACGTCGCAAGCTTCCACAAATCAGCGTCTTGTTCACAGTACATATGAGTATGATACCTATTCAACATACTACCACACCATAACATTGATCGTATATCGTATATCTGTGAGTGATTTTATTCAAAATAATGTATTTAGTCTCATGTGTGTCACATATGTCTCTCTTGTTCCATTGTAACACTGTACCACTGAGGAAGGGCCACGCCCGAATATATATTGGTCTTTAATTTTTTAATTCCTTCAGATATGAGCAAGAGGTTATTTTTCATACTCCTGATAATCTTATCAACAATGCTCAACTCAACGTTTCAATACCTGAAATCATACGGACTAGGATCCTTGCAAGCATTGGAATTGAGCACTGATCAGTCACCTTGAAGCAAACATTAAGAGAGAAAGCTTAATATTTGTGGAGACATTCCGTATTTCTGTGACACGGCGGCTCATTTCGACACTGACCTGAATTTCTCTCCGTTTGGCTGGGCTCGGCGCAGTGCCCTCCAGGATCAGTTTCAGCGTTCCGCACTTCTCCACCCCATCATCCGTCACAAACTGTAAACAGCACAAACACTCGGTGTCAGTAAAAACGTGCACTGTTTGTCTCTCAGAGCCCCGGCGCTTTATAAGCATCGTGCAGAGTATAACCCTGGGTACCATACATGATAATCCATGCATTTCGGGGCCAGTGTATCCATCGTACTGGTTGCCAGTAAGGACAGCACTAAACGGCACTGCTTATGTTGGAGTTCTGAGACGATTCTAGCATACAATATTTTAAACAGCTGTTGCACTCCATTGATTCGTAGAAGAGTCATCAGGCAGTAGACGTGGAACACTATGGCCTTCTGTTAGAGGTGGGGCACCGTAACCTTTTCCTGTTAGCGGTGGGACGCTCACCATGACCTTCATTTTAGAGGTGGTACACTCACCATGACCTTCTCCTTGTGCGAGCAGTAGAGGTGGTACACTCACCATGACCTTCTCCTTGTGCGAGCAGTAGAGGTGGTACAGTCACCATGACCTTCTCCTTGTGCGAGCAGTAGAGGTGGTACAGTCACCATGACCTTCTCCTTGTGCGAGCAGTAGAGGTGGTACACTCACCATGACCTTCTCCTTGTGCGAGCAGTAGAGGTGGTACACTCACCATGACCTTCTGATTGTGCGAGCAGTAGAGGTGGGACACTCACCATGACCTTCTCCTTGTGCGAGCAGTAGAGGTGGTACACTCACCATGACCTTCTCCTTGTGCGAGCAGTAGAGGTGGTACACTCACCATGACCTTTTCCTTGTGCGAGCAGTAGAGGTGGTACACTCACCATGACCTTCTCCTTGTGCGAGCAGTAGAGGTGGAGCACGATGGTGGTCTGGTCGGCCCGGGCCGGCGTGTAGCGCCGCAGCAGCGTCTCGCCCACCCCCACCGACTGGTCGGCCGTGACGAACTTGTCGAAAATGTCGGCACACCACTCACGGCCGTCCCGAACCAGCAGCTTTCCTGCGGGTATAGACAGGAGGATAGAACACCAGGAGCCTCACTGTGGGTATAGACGGGGAGGACAGAACACCAGCAGCTTTCCTGCGGGCATGGACAGGGGGATAGAACACCAGGAGCTTCCGTGCGGGTATAGACGGGGAGGATAGAGCACCAGGAGCCTCCCTGCGGGTATAGTTAAACACACGCACGCCGGGACCAGCAGCGTCCCTGTTCAGGAATGTGAAGAGACGGGGTTATTAACCGTAAAAAAAACACACACAAACTAAGTAGTTCACGTGGCTCACTGACTAAGAACCAGTAAAGCATGTCATAATCTATGAGTCAAAAAAAAATGTTCAACAGCAATGTGAAGAATACTGACGGGCTATGGATTCGTACGTCATCTTGAATGTGTTTCAAGAAATAAAATATGCCAAGAAATATGCAATTCTTGGCGTCTGTTTTACGCAATCTATGCCATACTGATACTGCATCGTAATTCACCATAAGCATTTTAGGCCGAAGAGCAGCCGTATTATTTCGCCAGTGTACAGACATCCGTCTACCACAAGGGCCACAATTCGTTGTTACGGACGGCTCGCGCGCCGACCGATGTTTGCTGCTTACCCTGTGGATGGATACCGCGCATGAACTTGTTGAGCACGCCGACCCCGTAGGTCATGGTGCAGCGGCGCACCTGGATGACGCTCGGATCCAGGCCGAACAGCACTGCGCCGCGCAGGATGGCCAGGCTGACCTCCTGAGGCAAAGGTCATTATGGAGGTCACAACGGGAACAGCACCGCGCCGCGCAGCATGGCCAGGCTGACCTCCTGAGGGGCGCAGCACAGCGGGGAGGTCACCACAGACACTGCAAGGCCAGGCTGACCTCCTGAGGGGCGCGGCACAGCGCGGAGGGGGTCACAACAGACACTGCATGGCTAGGCTGACCTCCTGAGGGGCGCGGCACAGCGCGGAGGTCACAGCACAGCGGGGAGGTCACAACAGACACTACACAGCCAGGCTGACCTCCTGAGGGGCGCGGCACAGCGGGGAGGTCACAACAGACACTGCACGGCCAGGCTGACTTCATGAGGGGCGCAACACAGCGGGGAGGCCACAACACAGCAGGGAGGTCACAACAGACACTCCAAGACCAGGCTGACTTCCTGAGGAGGGCACAACTGGCAGGTCATTCTGGAGGTCACGGCGAGATACCATAACGAAAGGTTACAGCAGACAATGCAGCGTCCCCGGCTCAGCGCAACATATCGAAGAGCCTTTGGAATCGAATCCAACGTATGCAAGTACGAAATCGTGTTACGCAGCTTCAAAGCCAATTCGTTAAGTATTTGTGTGTTCCTGAGTGGTCATACGTGGGGTATCACCACATTGACACCTGAGTCTTACCTGGGGTATTACCACTTTGATTCTGTCCGAGAACGTCCTCTTCATCCGCTCCTGCAGCAGCTTGGACTCCGAGAAGCCACCCACCAGGAAGAGGTACTGCATGTTGGACACCATGTCGAACAGACTTTCCACTTGCTGTGGTGAGACAACGGTCATGTCAGAAGCCGGGTTTCCTTTTTTACGCCTGGTCATTAAAACTTAGAGGTGTTCAAAAAGGCTGTCAAAGCTACTCGATTTACATATATGAGTATAACGTTAATTATCCGTCGCTTACCATAGTGGTTTAAATCATTCAAATTATTTTATATGTATAGTTTGAGGTAATAGCGAAATCGGTTTTAAAAATGCGTATTGCCGAAGTAGTTTCGGGTCTTTTTACGGCTTATCTTGTTTACGGAACGCTTCTGATACAGGTTCGGTAAGTCTCGGCCGTGACCATACACTGACCTCTGTGATTTTGTCGAGCGTCGGCGCGAAGAGGTGCTGCATCAGCTCCGAGTCGAGTCGCAGCATGCCATCCGTGTAGCGCACCTGGCCGCCCCGGTAGTTTTTCACCGCCTGCTCCACCTGGCGGTCAGCAGCACGGGTCGGCGCGGCACTCACAACCGGCCCTAGCTTCAGCAGCTATCGTGCCTAAACTCAACTAAATACATCAATTACTATCGAGAGGTACTGTGTCTATACTGTGTCTATCTATATTGTGTTACATATATTTCACAACAACGTTCATCTCCGTTGTTTTGCCACCGGTAGATTGCAGAATGCAGATGGTTAGGGACTTGGTTTCAAGATCTGCCACTAGGTGGCACTAGTGACTACGCCTGAATGTAGGCTGTGCCGCAATGCACTTGTGCAACCTAGTCGGGCATATGGTCAGGAATTCACCTTTACCTTTGCTACCGTTACACTGCCGAATTTTGGTACACGAATATGCACGAATATGCAAGTCATCCTATGTCGCGGATCGATTCGGGATCTTTCTTGCACGGTCTCGGCATTTCGCAGACCAGTCGGTGTCCACCGCACGACTTTTACGGTTCGTCACGACCGCGACGACTATTTCACGAAAAATGAAAAAAATTATTTGCCGTTCGCCGGAAGCATTGGGAGAGAAGTTGTGATCAGATCGTGAATGGTTAACCCGCGCCCTGCTGGGGGGGGGGGGGTGTTTGAACACCCCCCCTTGTGGTTTTTCGCGAATATCTCAAAAACGGCGGCGCTCCGCGCCGCCGTTTTTGGTACACCTTATCATACATCAATTCTACACATGTTGTGAAAATTTCAGACCAAGGTCATTCAAGGTCAGGTCACCAGGTCACTTGAAGTGACCTCACCTCATAAAAAGTTTCAATGTCTGTCATAGCTACACCGAGTGACCGATCGCTTTGAAACTTTCAGCGATTGATAAGGGTAACAGTATCTATAAAATGTATATCTCGGAATTTTGATATCGGTGACCTAAGGTCAGGTCAATTTTGCGACCTCCCCATTATAAGTCAATGGGAGAAAATTGAAATGCGCCTCTTTTGGACGGAAGACATTATAAACACTCCCAAACACTGAATTACAAGTGGTTTAGACACACTGAACATGAAAATGGTGTCCGTGACCCCTGTTTATGCCCTGAGGTCATCTTAGGTCACGAATGGTATCTAACAGTTTTTCGCAAATAACTTTTGATAGAGGCATGCTAGAGCGATGAAAACGCCTTAGATGTGTTCAGCTCGACGATACGGATCGACTGATATGCAACATGACCCTTTCCGGTCAGGTCATGACCTTGACCTGAGGTCAAATTTTCAAGTTGACCTTTCAAGGTCAAGTTATAGTTCATTCGATGCGTCTTGACGAGAGGAACACGATGCCGGTAAAAGTAAGCTCGTACAAGGCTTGGGTCAAAAGTTATTGCCGAAAAACTGTTTCCGAAAAAATCGGCTATTTTTGCAGTTTTTGCCCCCTGCAGGCAAAACCGTTGACGTTAGGTCAAATCTGAGAGAATTACTCAGAAAGGGCGTTAATAGGGCTATCGAATGCGCTTTTCCGCGGCGCTGTAGCTCTATTGGTTCCCGAGTTATGCGTTGGCTTCTTGGAAATTTTCGACATTCGACCTGGAAATCGGCGAAATTTTGCCTTCAATGACCTCTGGTGACCTGACCTTTGACCTGACCAAAAAATTGACCGAAGTAATTTCGTCATTATTTTTGACGCTCTTTCGAACGCCGCCTTCCGCGTATCGCTACGTGGCCCAGGAGCCGAGTTACAAGGGGGGGTGTTCAAACACCCCCCCCCCCCCCAGCAGGGCGTGGAAATCCAGGACCCCCAGCCGGGCGCGGGTTAATCGTTGCTATTTTAATGGCCTTGTTACACCGCCGAATTTTGGCCACGACCCTGTCGCCGAATCACGTCGTGTAGGAAATCGGCGGACAGTTCACCGACAGAGGCGAACAGTTCGCCGACAGAGCCCAATTTGCAGACAACGGGTGGGGGGCCCCCCTAATCGTGCGCGGGTCGAAGCTGATCCATGATTCGGCGAACATCGCGAATGAATGGCGAATCTGTTACGAATAGTCGGCGATAACTTGGCAACAAGTCGGCGCACGTAGCGACATGTCGGCGGCGACTCGGCGACTGTTTGGCGATCATGTTCGTTTATTATAAGTTCGGCGAACGGCCACGAAATTTTCATTTTTCATGAAATATTCGTGGCGGTCGTGACGAACCGTTAAGGTCGCGCGGTGGACACCGACTGGTCTGCGAAATGCCAAGACCGTGGAAGAAAGATCCCGAATCGGTCCGCAACATAGGATGACTTGCATATTCGTGCACATTCGTGTACCAAAATTCGGCAGTGTAACAAGGGCTTAATATGTGCTGTTTTAGAGTCATATTTTTCCCAGGTTTATGTTTGTAGATATAAAACTTTATCGGAATTCACTGGGATTGTATTGCGTATGCAAGTCCAAATATTTCGGCCAATATTGTTTGGCCTTGGTCACTGGACAACTAGAATAACCCTATAAGTATAGCTCACATTGCAGCGATACCCAAAATTCTAAATTAAATTCACAGACAAAAAAATCAAATCCCCGCGCGCTATCAACCATGTAGGAGATTCCAAGTTAAGAATATCTAGATACACTCACTATTTCCTATCAAAGTATGCTGTAAATTTAACTATAAAATACATACAAACACACAGACAAGAAGTTATACACAGAACACATTCGGTGTCATTAGTTTTAATTCAGTCCACTCATACTACAGTGATGAGAGGAACGAAAATCATCTTGCGTTTTTTTTTTTTGAGGCAAATCCCAAATTGGGCTCAGTGCGAATTTTCCAACACCTCTGTTCATATCTGCATCCTTCTCTTTTATTTCGATGGCCTCGCGCACTGTCCTCTTCCTCCAATCACTGACATAGGCTACTGTTCTTGCCTCCAAAGGGCGCATCTGACCAGAACACTCACTTGCGTGTCGTGCCGGTGCCGATTTCAATCTGCGTCCGTGTTGGATGTCTTGGGCGTGTTCATTCATTCTCACTGACTTAGGCCTTCCTGTCTCCCCTATGTACACATCTCCACATTCACATTCCACCTCGTAAACGACGCCTTTTCTCATCTCCTTTGGGGTTGTATCCTTTAGGTGAACCAGAGTGTTCCTTAGGTTTCTTGACGAGTGTCCTACGACAATGTTGTGGGCACGCAAAAATCAAGCTGGCAAACGCCGCACACATGCGAGGGTTATCCTAACTCGACATTGATGTTTTAAGTAGGTAGGTACATACCTAACCTAATTACATCAAGCAACATTCAGCAATTGATTGTTTGTACCTAAACAATGCGCATCCTAATATATTTTGCTTTGGATCTGTAAATGAATTACGTGAGAGCAGGCGAGGAGTAAAGGACTCTCTCTCTCTCTCTCTCTCTCTCTCTCTCTCTCTCCCTCTCTCTCCCTCCCTTCCTCCCTCCCTCCCTCGTTTGCTCACCTTTTTGCCGCGGACCTTTTTGAATTCGCTGATGAAGGCGAACGGTAGTGCCACATTCAGCGGCGACGCCTTGTCGGGCGAGGCAGCCCGCTTCCGGGCCTCGAACGCCACCATCAGGTCGATCCAGGCGGCCGGCCGGCGCGACCGGAACCCGGCGACGAACTCGGCGCCGAATATGTCGCCCAGCAGCGACTCAAACTGCATGTCCACGCCTGCCGGTAGAAGTGCGACTACATAAGGTATAGATTATTAACAGAACCGATGCTCTTACTACTACTTTACTGGACATTCAACGGTTATAATACGACTATTAGGTATACAAAAATACGTGAATGTGAGCGACTAATTTCCGCGAGGATATCTGTATTGTGTAAAGTGCCCGCGCGTGCGCAATCGCCTCCGGACGGGTGGGCGGTTGCACTGACCGACGCTGCCGTAGGGCCCGCCGCTGGCCTTGTAGACCTCCTTGAGCCGTCGGTGTTCCGAGTCCAGCACCTCGTGCACGGTGATGTCCACGGTGCCGCCGCCGCAGTCGACCACCAGGTAGCGCGTGCCTGCAGCAGCCACACGGCAGAGGTACGACACCGTGAGGTCAGAGAGAGAGGACCGGGCTGCTCGGCCAGCGGGTATACTCCCTATCCAAAGCTGGACACACTTGCACCGATTGCGAAATACGTATTTCCGTTACCGTATTAGTCAATATAGCTGATCAATTACTCATGAACACAAAAGGAAACGATGCTGGTTTGAACTTAAAAGCACTACTTGCTTCGTCCCGTGAAGTTGGTGCCATTTCATCCTTTCGTGCGCAAGTCGTAAAGTCAATCATTTTTACAAAGACAGTTGTAGGCAAACAGCCTCGCACTGACCTCTGACCATCTGGACGGCGGTGATCCCTTCTGACCACGACACTGACCTCACCCCCATTACTGACCTCTGACCGTGCCTCCGTCACTGACCTCTAACCATCCCCCTCCCACTTACCTCTGACCTCTCCCCTCCGTCACTGACCTCTCTCCCTCCGTCACTGACCTCTGACCATCTGGACGGCGGCGTTCCTCTCTGACCTCTCCCCCTCCGTCACTGACCTCTCCCCCTCCGTCACTGACCTCTCCCGCTCCGTCACTGACCTCTGACCATCCCCCTCCGTCACTGACCTCTGACCATCCCCCTCCGTCACTGACCTCTGACCATCCCCCTCCGTCACTGACCTCTCCCCTCCGTCACTGACCTCTGACCATCTGGACGGCGGCGCCGGTGCGCGCCTCCTCGCCGCGCGACGGCACGTACACAGACACCCGGTCGGCGCCCTCGTGCACCAGCTCGTGCAGCCGCAGACTGTGGCAGTAGACGGAGGCCACCTCGGGCTCCAGGGCAATCAGCAGGTCCTCGCGGCGGCCCTCCGAGCACAGACCCGCCTGGGGGAGGTCAGGGGAGGTCAGCAGGTCCTCGCGGCGCCCCTCCGAGCACAGGCCCGCCTAGGGGAGGGATGGGGGAGTCAGGGTAGGTCAGCAGGTCCTCGCGGCGGCCCTCCGAGCGCAGGCCCGCCTGGGGGAGGTCAGGGGAGATCAGTAGGTCCTCCGAGCACAGGTCCGCCTGGGGGAGGAGTGGGGGAGGTCAGTAGGTCCTCCGAGCACAGACCCGCCTGGGGAAGGGGTGGGGGAGGTTAGGGGAGGTCAGCAGGTCCTCCGAGCAGGCCCGTCTGGGGAAGGGAAAGGGGAGCGGTTTGTTAGGTTTCTCTGTAACTATCTAAGGTGTGTCTGTGTCTGCCGTGTCTGTGCCGTGTCTGCCGTGTCTGTGTCGTGTCGGTGTCGGTGCCGAGGGACGGCACTGTTCCGTCGTGCCGCGGAGGCTGTCTCGGTTCGGGGTGGCTGCGTATGGCCTCCACGCCCGCACCCACACTCCTCCGCCGGGCGGGCTGTGATTAGAGTCTCCAGCCAAGCGGGACAGGCGCGTTACGGTCCGCCGCGTCGGCATGCGGTCTCTGCAGGGCCGGCGACGGCACGGCGACCAACGAGCGGGTGAGGCGCATCGTGTGTATCCTTTACGGAACAACAGAACAGGGAAAGGGGCAGGAGAGGGGCCAATGAGGCACGGGGGCTGATCGTACATAAAAGAAAGGAGTGATCAATTCACGGGAGTTATCTCAGCCACTGTACAATAGTGAGGCTCGTTGGCCGCCCGCCCTATGAACTCTTTGGGGAAATTGTCTCACCTTGTAGGCGGCCTGCGGCCTGCCCCATGAACAGTTTGGGACATTGTCTCACCTTGTATGCGGCCTGCCTCATGAACTGTTTGGCATGCTGCCGCCAGATGGCCGGCACGGTGATGACCCAGCGAATCTGCCCCGCGGGCATCTCGTAGCCGAGCAGGTCGTCGAGCTCGTCGAGCGCCTGCCGCCGGAAGAACGACAGCGCGTGCGCGAACACGAGCAGCGCCGAGATGCACTGGCCGTTGGCCGCCGGGATGTAGGTGTCCACGCCCAGACTCTGTGTGTTCGGCGGAGGCACAGCGGTCAGTGGGGTATTCGGCGGAGGCACAGCGGTCAGTGGGGTGGATAAAGGGCTTCGTATTCTGGAGACTTTACAAACCGTTTAAGTGACGATTCTACGCACTTCTGAACCATGGTTTTGTTTAGATTCATTGTTTTCCAGGTATTTGCGTTGGCGAGTTATATGAAGACAATCATCACTTATGCAGACAGCTGTACCGGGTTTTATTCCCGTTTCCTATTCACACCAATCTTGATCTCTGACCGCCCCGACCCGTCACACATGGTGTCACCACCGGTCGTCACCACCCGTCACCACCACCCGTCACCACCCGTCACCACCGGTCACGTACGGCGTCCGTGTGCAGGGACAGTTTGAACTTGTCGAAGTAGAGCCACTCGGCGGCCTGGCGCGGCTCCAGGTCGTGGTAGGCGTCCCTGGCGGCAAACCCGAACGCGCTAAACTCGGCCGCCGGGCTGAGCAGCAGCGCCGTCGGCGTCTTCTGGTTGTTGAGGCCCGGGTCACCGCCTGGGGAGCGGGCCAGGACCGTCACCGTCTGGAGGGGGGGGGGACCTTCCGGCGCGGGTCGCTGGGAACGGCTGAGTGCTCAATGGTAGCCAAGCATCGCGAATTACGATATATTAGAGAAGAAAAATGCCAAAGCTGCTGCTCAAAGCGAAATAACTTTAGGTACAGGAAAAGTGCTTCAACTGCCTATCAAATGACGTCGATGATCTTCCTATGCTCAGGAACCATACGGTCAAGAAGAAGGTGGCAAGATTTCTTAGGATTTCTGTTAACTGATGATTCTGGATGTTAGATGTTACAGGTCAGGGCGATATTGGAGCAGCGCTCCGTCACGCTGTGGCGCGCCCGTACGCTGTCCCTGTCCCTCCCCAGTGCCGGCCGGGGCTGAGGAGCGGCCGGCCGAGACCGTTCCGCACGTGCAGAGCTCCGTACGCACACAGTCGCGGCGCCCCTCACCCGACTGAGGCGGTCACGAAGAAACGGTGCCAGGAGGAGCACGCGCGTCCCAGTCTCCGCGCGTGTCTGCCCCCTCCCCCCCCCCCCTCCCGCCCTGACCTACTCCGTCGCTGCCAGGCCGCTGTGCCTCAACAACTTGGTAAACACTATAAAGTGATTGATTTGGAAATTGATAGTTGATCTGTGTTCTATGGGAACACATGACATCGCGCCATTGTTTTAGCGTGGTGTTTTGCGTGGACCCACCTGCAGCCCTCCTCATGACGTGGACCCACCTGCAGCCTCCTCATGATGTGGACCCACCTGCAGCTGGACCCACCTACGGCCCTCCGCATAATGTGGACCCGCCTACGGCCCTCGGCATGACATGGACCCACCTGCGGCCCTCCTCATGATGTGGATGGCGCCCGGACTGCTGACGAAGCTGAAGGCGTAGCCGCTGTAGGTGGTGCCGAAGTCGATGGCGACGACGACGGCGTGCTCGGGCCGCCGGGGCCGCTCGGGCGCCGCGTACAGGGGTGACTCGCCGCGCGGCGCCGGACTGGCCGCCGGCGTGGTGCGCGGCGTGCTCGGCGTCGGGAACCGGGTGACGCCCACCTCGGCCATGTCGTAGCCGCCCGACGAGAGACTCTCGAAGTCGTCCGGGCGCGCCAGCACGCTCCGGCCGCCGTCCGTCATCTCCTCCACCAGGTTGAAGTTCTCCGTGTTGCTGACGCGCCGCGCGGCGGCCGGGTGCGCCGGCGGGCTGGGGTGCGCCGGTGGGCTGGGGTGCGCCGGTGGGCTGGGGTGCGCCGGTGGACTCGGCTGGGCGGCGGGCCGGTGGGACGGATGGGAGCTGTCTGGGCTGACGGGGTGGGACGGCGGACTCGTGGGGCGGCGCGCCGGACTCCGCCGGGGAGGGCGGCTCGGACTCTGCGCCGGCGGCGGTGCGTCCTCCTGGCGGTGCGCGGCGCTGAGCGGCGGCGGCTCGGGGCTGCGGCAGCCGCTGCCCACGCTCAGTGGCTCGCTGTCCGGGCTGCGCGCGCCGCTCTCAGGAGTGCGCGCCTCGCGGCGGCCCGGGCTGGCCGGCTCGGCGCTGCGGCCCCGGCCGCTGTCGGTGCCCGAGTCGCCGCCGGCGCCGCGCTCGCGGGCCACCTGGGCGGCAAACTCGGAGCTGAAGCCGTGCTGAGCGCCGGCGCCGGCGCCATCCAGCGTGCGGTCGAGCTCGCGCAGCACGGACTCGGCCTCTGTACCGACCGAGCCGGAGCGCAGCTGCAGCGCGGCCCGCTGCGCCGCCTCGTGAGCCAGTACCAGGTCGTGGTTGATGGCCTCGTGGAGCCGGCCGCCGCCGCCGCCGCCGCCGCCGCCGCCGCCGCCCCCGCCGCCGCCGCCCCCGCCATCGGAGGAGGCGCCCGAGGCCAGGGAGGAGAACGAGGGCGGGTCGCGGGTGAAGTCGAGGCCGCTCTCGATGTTCAACATGCGCGGTGGCTTGGGCGGCTGACCTGCGGACGGACGGGCGCGGTGTGAACGGACGCAACTCGACAGCGAGGAAGACAACTTCGGCTCAACAACATGCTAATACGGGTACCTACACTGTGTTGAATGATTGGCAGCTTGTTTACCAAATGTTGGTCCTGACTTCCTCGTATCATCTCGCTGCGAATGCCCCTGTAGGTTCTGGCACATTCCTAAGACGCCACCATTATCAATAGGTGGTGTGGGAAGTTTGATGGCCACCTATTTGTCCAATGTCATACCTACAGAGCTGCTTAGAGACAACGCTCTCATATGTTATGGTTAGACAATGGTTCTTATATGTTGAGCCCAAATCGCCAAAAAAAAAAAATGGTAAACCCATTTCAATATAACAGAAAGCCTTTGCCGCATATCCTTACACCTCCAGGGAAAACATGTTTTGGAAAGATGTCATAGCGTCTCTGTGACCTATCCCCGGGACAAACGGGGTGAACCAATTGACCTAAAGGGATGAACTTGCCCAGGGCCTCGGCTAACATGTTAACTGGTGTGCCAAATGGCCCACCAGTGACCCGAAATGGCCCACCAGCCTCAAATATTTGGCCCACCAGTAATTTTCCGAAAAATCTAAGTTTTCACATTTTTAACATTTCAAATTGAATAGCAGATCTTATCGTACATTTTCAGGCTGTAAAGTACCCATCCGTGAAACATATTCTTGTGAAAAAACATCAACCTATTGTTTGCAATATCCTCTTGGGGTAAAAAGTGAACTATAGTGGACTAAGTGGACTAAGCCTCGGTCACACTTCACCGGATTGGACCAATGGACGAGAAACGGACGGCGTCCGGTGATGTCCGGGGGATGTCCGTTCGTTTCCGTTGGACGTCCGTTTCTCATCCGTTCATATCCGTTCCATGTCCGGTGGTGTCCGGTGTGCTCAACTGGACACCACCGGACATGGAACGGATATTAACGGATGACAAACGGACGTCCAACGGAAACAAACGGACATCACCGGACGCTGACAGTTCTCGTCCGTTTCTCGTCTGTTGGTCCAATTCGGTGAAGTGTGACCGAGGCTTAAAATTTCATGCAACAATCGCGAAAGACGTCTGCCTCTGTCAATTACAGATAGTGTCGGCGGCTTCCAGCCGATCAAGGTCTGCGAGAGTTCTTGCAAGCTTTCCGATCGATGGAGTGGTTGCAGTCACATAAGCATCTGCCGCAGACCAGTCGGTTACAAGAAAAACTACGAATAAAAAACAGACCAGTTCACTTCAGACGGTTGGGGATAAGCCTGCGAGCGATCTCAGACGGCTCGCCGATAGACACGATATAAGCCAGAGTCAAACTAGAGGTAGTGTCGGCGACTTCCAGCCGATTGAAGTCTGCAAGCGATATTATGCGTCTTCCGACCGGTATGATGCTTGCAGTCACACATCTGACCAGTTGGACGAATTTCGAACCGTTCACAGTCAGCGTTCCAAAAATGTCTCATTTGGGCTGAAGATGACACTCATGAATAAGAATGGATAATTTTCCACTCTCACATTTTGGCGGCTCGAATTTTCCACTCAGACACCCAAGAGAAATCTGAAGTTTGGGACACTGTAATCACCAGAAGTGAACGTGTACATAACTTTTTTTTTTAGAAAATATCAGGGTTGAGCAGCTTGGCTTTTGAGTCAATTATTTTCCATGCGACACCAATAGGCTTAATGATCATTTTCAGAGATGTTGGGGTTGCTGCTACAACCCCCTTTTGGGGTTCCTGCCACAACCCCCTTTTGGGGTTCCAGTGCTACAGCCCACTTTATATATAAAGTTGCACTCGTGCTGTTCACAATTCCTCCCGATCCACCCAACAACGCCCGATCCCGTCCGACCGCTTCCGAATCTCTGACTAGTCGGCGAGCGATCCACTCACGACCGTAAGTTATCGTCCAAAGTTTTATCATCTGCGTCAATATTGTGTGCATACTTGTGCTACGGAATATATAGTCTACGACATGTCGATATGTCGATATGTAGGGGAGACCCGGGAGGTATGGGCCCCCTGGAGGTATGGGCCATCGCAGTTTTGAAGAAGTGTTGCGTATTTTTCACGGTATTTTTACACATTTGACGGCGTTAACTGGTAGCAGCCATTCCGTTATACATCCCACGTGATTTTCAAAATCTTCCTCACTCTTCTTTGGCAATGAGCGGTGATAAAGCGTTTTTGCCCTCTCCGAGTAAAATACATACCTACAGAAAATTCGTGATAAATTTAAACCAGGCTCGTTTTATAATGTCAGAACATCGCTAAGATAAAGTTTAAAGCATGCAAATTAAGACTGGATAGACAATTTGAAGCTTTCTTGCAAGATTATGAGCTGAGGTGCTACGCACATTCTGGCGTCCTAGCCGGGAGGTTCGGGCCACCCACCCTGTTGATCCTAAATAAATAAAAAGATGCTTTCATGGAATGTCCCCGTCAATAAGTTTTATTTTTGTCGCGCAAGGTCGAAAATTTTACTTCAAATTTCATTCGAGCAGAAACATATTATTGATCTTATTTCATGGTGCATGCTTGAGTTTACCAAAATGCATATGTGCCCAAGTCACCTCCATGAAGTAGTTAAGCTGTTGGCCGCTTATGCGGTTCCTGGGCTCTAAGAGAGATCAACGTAGATACCAGCTACGAGTATTATTCTCATTGTTGAGAAAAGAATATGAAACATGGCACCGGCCCATACCTCCCGGGCCATGGCCCATACCTCCCGATGTATTTTGATGGATCGAAAAAGCACATGATTTATTGAAAGTTATCTCGAGACAAAATAGTTGATCCCATATGCCTAATATCAGGCACACGTTGCAGGCGAAAGGCAATTTCACGTACACAGAGTGAAAGACCGGGTCTAGCCACTGCCCACTGGAAGAAAATTGCCTTTTCACAAAACCGGCCCATACCTCCCGGGTCTCCCCTACTACGATATGTCGTACACTATATATTCCGTGCTTGTGCGATTTTATGTGCACCGCGGGAGTATCACCACTGAGAGGGTTGTGGGTCCCTACTCTCTCCTCTCTCTCTGAAGAGTCGGGGGGGGGGGGGTCGAGCCCCGTTTTTTTACATTTTTTAATGCCATCCTGACGTTTTTTGCAGAATAAAGTGGCCGAAATCTGGGGAGAAATCGAAAATTGGGGGGGGGGGGGGCTATGGCTACGAAGGTCAGTCCATGTCGTTGCCCAAGTGGCCCACCAGTCAAAATTCCTTAGCCGAGGCCCTGAACTTGCCCGGCTCATCAGCCGGTGGCCGACTCAGGCTAATGGAGTTACCCCATTCCCACCCATCATACCTCTGTCCTGCAATTATGTAGAATTGGCCGGCCGAATTCAACCCAGCATGAGGAAAACGCACAAAAAAATGGCTAGCTTAGAGCATTCGGATTCTATCAAGAAGGTATTGCAATCACTGTAGCGATGCGTCCTGAATCTGTGTCACGGGCGAGACCATCACTATCTGCATAGTGAGTCCGTGCCCTCCCGCTCCGCCAGCGGTGATGATCCAGAAAAGAGCACGCCGCAGCTCTGATGATGTTCAGCCCGAGGTGAGCGCGTGCCCGTCCTATTGGCCACGTGACGCACGACCTGTGCCCCTGACACGCTGCGCCCATTGGCTCCGTGACGGCGGTTTAATGACGTCACGGTCCGAACGCGTCATCGGGCCGGCAAGGGCACACCGTCCGTGCGGGTGTGTCCATCCGGCCGTGTCATCCAGGACCGTGTCAGCTGATCGACGCTTTACTTGGATCAAGTATTACCTCCTAACGTTAAAACGATCTGATTATGCCAGTGTAATTTGTTTCTGTGTTACCTTCATTGGCAAATTATGTTGACAGTTGATGTGCCAAAGCATTGAGTTGAGTGGCATTGTGAGTATTTCGAGCGTTTGTAACTCGTTAGTCGTTTCATTTCGTTATGCTAAAAAAATGCATATGGCATAATGCCTGTGCAAAGTTGCACGCTATACACACAATCTGAAAGCTTAACAATGACCAAACGATTTCACGAGTTTCACGAGCATGAAGGTCTGTCCACTTTCCACCAGATATCGGTCTCCCGTCCGGTCGGACGCGGTGGACGCGGTGGAATCTATGGACACGGTGTACGCGTTGGACGCGGTGGACGTCATGGTGGACGCCGTGGATGCGGTTACGCGGTGGACGCCATGGTGGATGCGGTGGACGCCGTGGACTCGGTGGACGCTGTGGTGGACGCGGTGGACGCGGTGGATGCCCCCGGTTGTCCGACACCGCTCAGTGCCCGACGGGAACCTAGTGCAGATCTGCGGGGAGCTGGCACCCCCGGGAGACGCCCCGGTCGCTCAGAGACAGTGGGCAGATCTGCCACACGTCCCTTTCGGATTTTCCCGTATTTGACGGATATCTCCCGGACACTCAAACTTGTCCGGGTGTCAAACACTATGGTCGACCATAGTGTTGTGTCAAACACTATGGTCGCCCATCCGTCAAAGTCACTCGTCTTTGACGGAAATATCCCGGCCGTTCGGCTGTATAGCAGAGGCTCGGCCATGGAAGACTGGGGCATGCGCGCTCCGTAATACAGCGGTGAGCTCGGCCCAGAACAATATCGCGCAGGTGCTGACTTCACTACATAGAGGCACTGTCTCCTGTCCAGTGCCCTGTCACAGACGGTACATGGGGGCGGGGTGGGTTGGGCGGGGGGGGGGGGGGTGTACTGTGAGGCGCGTGGGTTGTACCTATTTGCTGATTTAATTCATTGCTGGCCGTTCGAAGGGAATTATTTGTAGATTCTTTGAAACAAAAAGCAATTATGATTTACCCGATTGATGTTACTACCATAAAAAGCACTTTAGTACCGTGACAGTGACAAATTATTCTCATAGCGATATAGAGTGTGGTAAAATACCAAACGTGTCATATTAGATATAGAGGGTTCTTCATTTCTCCGAATGGGATATATACTATATAGGTATCGTTTTCTTCTTACAAT